TCCCTGACCAGGAATTGAACCAGTGACCTTTTTTTTAAAATATATATATATTTTATTGATTTTTTACAGAGAGGAAGGGAGAGGTATAGAGAGTCAGAAGCATCGATGAGAGAGAAACATCGATCAGCTGCCTCCTGCACACTCCCCACCGGGGATGTGCCCACAACCAAGGTACATGCCCTTGACCGGAATCGAACCTGGGACCCTTGAGTCCACAGGCTGACACTCTATCCACTGAGCCAAACCGGTTCGGCTGAACCAGTGGCCTTTTGATGCATGGGATGACACTCAACCAACTGAGCCCCACCAGCCAGGGCTGTTTGTTGTTGTTTTTTAATGGTGATATTGAGATATAATTCACACACCATACAATTCATCTATGTAAAGTGTATCGTTCAATGGCTTTTAGTATATTCACAGAGTTGTGCAACCATCACCACAACCAATTATAGAACTTTTTAGCACCCCACAAAGAACCCTGCACTCCCTGGCGGTCCCTTCCATTTGTCCCCAACCCCCTCCCTCAGCCTGTCACCCACTAGTCTACTTTCTATCTCTATGGATTTATCTATTCTGGACATTTCATCTAAATGGAATCAGGTAATATGTGTTTTTTTGTGACTTGCTTATTTCACTTAGCACACTATTTTCAAGGTTCATCCATGTTGTAACATGTTACTGGCCCTTCATTCCTTTTAAATACTCAGTAACATTCTGTAATATGGAGAGACCACGTTTTGTTTATCCATTCATCAGCTGATGGACATTTGGGTGTTTCCACTCTTTGGCTATTATGAATAATGCTGCTAAGAACATAAGAACACTTGTGTATGAGTTTTTGTATGAACATGTGCTGTCATTTCTCTTGGGTAAATATGTAGGAGTGAAACTGCCTGGTTATGTGGATACGACACTAGATTCTTTTTTTTTTTTAAATATATTTTATTGATATTTTACAGAGAGGAAGGGAGAGGAATAGAGAGTTAGAAACATCGATGAGAGAGAAACATCGATCAGCTGCCTCCTGCACACCCCCTACTGGGGATGTGCCCGCAACCAAGGCACATGCCCTTGGCCAGAATCGAACCTGGGACCCTTCAGTCCGAAGGTCGTCGCTCTATCCACTGAGCCAAACCGGTTAGGGGACGACACTAGATTCTTAATGCACCGCTCTGCAGCCTCCCGTAGTGAAAGACTACTATGAACCAAATGATCAGTTTTCTTTATACACCAGCCTTGAGATTCTTAGCACAGTTGGCACCTGCATGACCTGAAGGCCTGGTCATTTAACCTAAAACAGAAGAGGTGAGGGGTTGCCCCTGGAGCTGAAATGATGGAAAATGCCCCCAGAGCAAAAACTGTTGCGGGTCGCAAATGCCTTCTGGGAGGTCCTTCCCCCACAAGGTTGATGCCAGTTCCTTGTCCAAGGGAAGTAAGGAGTTTATATCCGTTCACCTGCACCTCTTTCATCCATGGCCCTGCCTGATTAAGAAATGTGTGAGGTGCCCTGACTGGTTTGGCTCAGTGGATAGAGCGTCGGCCTGCGGACTGAAGGGTCCCAGGTTCGATTCTGGTCAGGGGTGTGCACCTTGGTTGCGGGCACATCCCCAGTCTCTCATCGATGCTTCTGACTCTCTATCCCTCTCCCTTCCTCTCTGTAAAAAAAAAATCAATAAAATGTTTTTTTTTAAAAAGAAAGAAATGTGTGAGGTGGCTGGCTAGTGTCTGGAGGGACTGTCCATACCTGAGAATGGAATATTCTTATTCAAAAAAAAGTTGCTTACTTTAGGGATTAAGTGCCACAGAGGTCTCACGACCTTTAGCCCATCCTCACAGCACCTGAGGACAGAGGCTGCAACCACTCGTTGGGGTGGGTCTTCCCCCCAGGGAGCTTGTCACAACTTGCTATGGAATCCACGAGACCAACAAGCCTCAAAGCAGGACAGGAGGGTTAGAAGGGGGGTTGCCCCTGTTGGCACAGTAACGGTTGTGTGATCCAGGTCAGCTAACAGACACCGCGCCCCCCCTGGGAAAGCGCTGCTCGGTGGAGAAGACAGCCCTGCGGACAGGCAGCTCCTCCTGGGTGTAAAGGCCAACGCACACAGGTTGTTGCCCCGGCTCTGTTCTGATTTTATCACGGGTGTTGTTAGCCGGTTGCTGAGAACCAAGTGAACTTTAGTGTTCCTTGACTGTCCTTACTGGACTGCAGTTCAGATCTGTTTGCCGTCCTGGTAGTAAACCCGGGAATTCACTCGCCGCCTTTCCTCTGGGTTCTCACCAAGCTTTTTACCCATGACCTCCCTCCTGCCTAGGACCTCCCTGGGAAACGGTGCAGAGTCCGCACCCTCAGACCCGTGTTCTAGACGACAAAAATGTGGAACGACCAGGCTCAGTGGTTTGCTCAGGATCACACAGTGAAGGGCTGTGGGTTGAAGCTGAAAATAAGCCCTAAGCTTGTCACTCATCGCAGCCTTCCCGCCGCAGGAGAGGGCAAGCTGCCTCTCCCCTGCAGGCTGAGAGGAGGGGCGTGTGCTGTAGGGAGCAGATGCCTGCTGCGC